GCTGAAAATTATTATGCAAATTAGGTAATTATATGCACATATTTACCCTAAAACTAATCAGTCTCTGCATAGTCTAAAGGATCTATGTACCAAGTTTCATTGAAATGCGATGATTAGTACTTGAGATACCCGTGGAAAAGCTGAAAATTAACTAATTATGCAAATTAGGTGATTAATATGCACAAATATTTATCGAAACAATCAATCTCTGCATAGTCCTTGAGTATGTAAGTACCAAGTTTCATTGAAATGTAATGCTAACTACTTATATCAAATGCTGAAAATTAATTAATTATGCAAATTAGGTAATTAATATGTACTGATATTACCATAAAAACTATCAGGTCTGTGCAGTGTCGTATGACATCTATGTACCAAGTTTCATTGAAATGTGATGATTAGTACTTGAGATATCAGTGGAAAAACCGAAAATTGACTAATCATTATGCAAATTAGGTAATTAGTATCCACGGATTATTACCAAAAACTAATCAAAACCTAGCATTAGTTCAGAGCATCTATGTACCAAGTTTCATCAAAATCCAATGAGTGGTTGTTTAGATATCAGTGGAACAATCTTGGAACCACTAAAAAATAGCTAATTATCATGCAAATTAGGTAATTAATATGCACGGATTTTTACCAAAAATTAATCAAATCTGCGCATATGTTCAGAGCATCTATGTACCAAGTTTCATCAAAATCCAATGAGTGGTTCTTTAGATATCAGTGGAACAGTCATAGAACAGCTAAAAATTAGCTAATTATCATGCAAATTAGGTAATTAATGAGCATGGATTTTTACCAAAACCTAATCAAATCTGCGCATTGGCCCAGAGCATCTATGCACCAAGTTTCATCAAAAACCGATGTATGGTTCTTGAGATAGCAGTGGAACAGTCGGACACACATACACACATACACACACACATACACACATACACACATACAGACACACTAACTGCAAAGACTCCCATTTTGTGCTTCGCACATGGGAGTCAAAAAGCAAAATCATTAAATTGTGCTGCTTTGAATTGAACAATACATTATAAAGATGTGAAATGAGATAACAAACACACAAACTTACCTTAGCACCAAATTCAATTAAATTGGCAAGATTCTGAATGGCTTTGGTAACAATTGTAAGAGTTCTTGTTGCAGTTTCTGATGGTGGTTCTGGAGTAAACAATAAATCAAAATCTCAATTATCATTATTGTACATAAATATTGATCCATTACCAGTGGTATTAACACAACAGAGTTGAACATACCTAGCTATACAGAAAATTCATGAAATTTGTCAAAATGACAACAAGTTTTCTTAGTCTTGAGTAGAACATGCAACGATTTGTTTGATTTCATTGATGTTTCGATCATTGGTATTTTTTATTTTAGAATTGGCATTTCTTCATTTTTATGCCAAAAATCATGGAGCAGCTGGGAGTCGAGATCAACTCTCTAACCCCAAATACCGATGTTTACTTTAGTGTGAAAAAATCACAAAAAACATAAAACACACTGTATCTCAGATTTACTTAAAATGTATTACCCTCATTAACCATCGCTACAATTGTTTTTTCTAGTTGAAGGCATGCTTTATATATTCGTATAAGAGAATATGGGAAAAAAAGTAAATTTGATATTTTCAAAGAAAAAACCCTCTAACTACATCCTTAATTTTCAAGATTTTTTATCAGAAATGTTACAGTATATAGAGAGCCGCGAAGCAATTGTCGCACTCGTTCGTCTTTAGTGTCATCGACAATAAAACCAATGTTGCAATATTGTAGCAACTCGTTTCTAGGAGAGTGGTTGAATCACGTTATTTTGGCTTTAAAAACTATTTGGTAGCTGCTTGCGAATCCACAACTAGGGCCAGCAATTTTGCAATGTCGCACTGACGACTGCCAACTTTTTTA